ATCTTTTAAAAGGTCACCTCAAACTCAACCAGGTAAGATAGACATACCAACAGCTTCATGCCTCATGTCCTCTGGTAAAACTCAAAACTCTTATACAAAGTGTGTCTTTTGTGATAAGAATCATAAGAGTAGTAACTGTTTTGCTGCTCAGAAATTGCCATTGTCTCATAAGGTGTCCACTTTAAAGGAAAAGAGGTGCTGTTTCCTTTGCTTGCAGCCTGGTCACCGTATTAAGAATTGTAGAGCTCATTTGTCATGTTCTAATTGTAAAAGGAAACATTATCCTATAATGTGTCCTAGTATTCATTCCAAAGAAGTAGTGAATGAGTGTGTAAGCAAATGTGTTGATGAGGTATCTAAAGAAATGACAGTAGTGGAAGATACCGCTTTGGCCAATAAATCAAGTAGCAAAGTGAAAGTGTTTCTGCAAACAGTTAAGGCAAGATTAAGAACCCCAGGTAGTAATCAATTTGAGACTGTTCGCATTCTTTTTGATTCTGGTTCACAGCGTTCTTACATTTTAAAGGACTTGGCTGAAAAAATGAATTACGAAAGCTTAGGAGAAGAAACAATCATACACTCTCTTTTTGGTAATGTCAAATCTGGTGAAGTAATTCATAACAGACATCGTGTGTTTCTAACCAGTCAAGATTACAGTTACAACTGCAACTTTGAGGTATTGAGTCAAACTACCATATGTGGGGAAATTCCACCTGTTACCGAAGGTCCCTGGATACAGGAACTTTTAGAGAAAAATGTTTCTCTGACTGACATACATGAGACCGAGCTACCAATTGGTATTTTGATTGGAGCGGATATAGCGGGTAAACTATTCACTGGAAATATGATTCAACTGAAATCTGGACTAGTGGCTATGGAAACTCTTCTGGGATGGACACTGATGGGTAAGGCTATAATTAGTTGTAGTACAGGTTCAACTACACTCTCCACTGTTGTAACATCAATGTTTATTATTGATGCTGACATATCGGAACTGTGGAGATTAGACACTATAGGCATTACTGATACAAGTGAATCAGTTTCCAAAGAGCAAAAAGCTTTGGCAGTTAAAAAGCATTTTATAAAAACTACCACTATAAATGAAGAAGGTCGATATGAAGTAAGTTTGCCCTGGGTTGATTGTCATCCTCCTTTGCCTAGTAACAGAGAGTTAGCCGAAAAGAGGTTATCAACAGTTGTAAAGAAATTGGATGGTAACAATTTAACCGAAGACTATGACTCAGTTTTTAAACAGTGGTTAAGTGATGGCATCATTGAAGCTGTACCTTCTGACGATTTGAACAACAACTTTCACTACCTGCCACATAGACCTGTATTGAAGGAGAGTAGTATTACCACACGAATTCGTCCAGTGTTTGATGCATCAGCAAAGACCAAGTTTTCACCCTCATTGAACGACTGTATTGAAAATGGACCAAATTTAATTGAACTGATTCCTTCTGTTATGATGCGTTTTAGGGAAGGGAAGTTTGGAGTTATTGCTGATATAGCAAAAGCCTTCTTACAGATATCGTTAAATGTACAAGATAGAGATTTTCTTCGGTTTTTATGGTTTGACATCAATGAAAGAAGCCGAAGTATTGTTTACCGCCATAAAAGAGTTGTTTTTGGAGTGAAATGTAGTCCATTTCTTCTAGGGGCAGTAATTGATCTGCATCTTCAAAAATCTATGACTTCTCAGGAGTTTGATGATAATGTGGTAAAGAAGCTGAGTAAAAGTTTTTACGTGGACAATGTTTCGACCAGTGTAGATACTTATGAGGAACTAAAACACTTTGTTGAAGAATCGAAACAAGTTATGGCTGCCGCTAAGTTTGATTTAAGAGGATGGCATGCCACGAGCGTCATTGAAGAAGGAGATAACAAGTTCGTCACTAATGTTTTGGGAGTTCAATGGAACTATATTGAGGACGTTCTGTTTTTTAACCTGACGAACTGTATTAAAGATTTGGACGTGTCTCGAATCACTAAGAGAGACATTTTATCCATATCTCACAAGATCTTTGATCCAATTGGTATCCTTTGCCCTGTTACTTTGTTTCCTAAACTTCTTCTGCAAAGTATGTGGGACTTGAAAATTGACTGGGACACTGAAGTAAGTTCAGACATCAGTAAACGATTCATACTGTGGTATAATGAGTTAAGCGCTCTTGAAAAAGTGAAAATACCCCGATGGATAGGTAAAATGACTATGGATTCAAATGGTTGTAGTATTCATACATTTTGCGACGCAAGTAAAGATGCCTATGCTACAGTTATTTACTTGAGAGTTGAAATTGAAGATGAAGTAAGAGTCCAATTATTGTCTGCAAAATCAAGAGTTGCTCCTCTGAATAAAACTACGATTCCAAGGTTGGAATTATTAGCCGCCACGGTGGGAGCACGTCTCACAAGCTGGACTAAAAATCAAAGTTCAAAAAAGGTTCATGTTTGAGTAGTAATACTACTCGGTGGGAGGATGTTATATCTCCTAGTCTGTGATTTGATGCATATTTACTTTTGACTAATTTAAATTGTCATATGGTTTTGTTTTGTTGTTGTCATAATAGTTTTATATGAGTTGTTGAAAATAGAAGTGTGGTTTTAAAAAGTCTAGTTTTTTTCTAATTTTATCTTTATAGTTTTCATCACTTTAAGAAGGTAGGTGTGTAGTGTAAAACAACAATAAGTGAGCTCGTTCGCATGGCTCAATCACGTCCTGGTTGAAGTTCGTTCGCTACGCTCACTCACCTTTAGCACAGAAAACGTACTATAGATTGCCTTCAGGTTGAAGTTCGTTCGCTACGCTCACTCACCTTTTGGTTGCAAATTAGCTGTTGTCATAAATTAAAAAAAATTATAGTGATGCAGCCTGTTGGCAATCCTTGTAACTGTAATGCTATTGAACATCATAGAACAGAACCAACTTGAATTGAAACAGCTGTTAAGATTCATTAATTCCATTTAAATATGAGTACTCATAAGGTTAACATGGGAAACTCTAGAGCCACTGGGGCGGAGCCCTTTTGACGGATCTGCACCAAACTTCACACAAACCATCCTTGAATAATGCTTAATAATCCCTGAAAGTTTCATTACAATCTGTCAAGCGGTTTCGGAGTCCATAAAGGACAAACAAACAAACAAACAAACAAACAAACAAACAAACATACTACATTGGATTTTATATATAGATCTATTTCACTGTTAAACCCAAGTTTGCCATTTGCCTCAGTACTTCGGGGATTAGTTTTTGGTAGTCGAGAGCCAAGTAAAATAATCAGTATTTGATAGGAACTATTTCCCCTTATATTGATTAGGCTCATCTTCAGTGTAATCTTTGCTCAATAGTAACAACTGATGTTTTTCCTTTTGTACTGTATATTGTAATTTGCTAGTTTACTGTGGATGGCTTTATAAACACATGTTACAAGTCTTTTGTTTAATTTTTCTTTGTCATTTTGTTCAATCAACAGTTAAACTACTTAGCAAGCCATAAGGCCAATGATAAATTTTTAAATTTTCTAATGAGTTGTATAGCGAAATTTGAATCTTCCTGAGGTAGTGGATGTCGTCAATCACGTTTTTTGGCCAGAAATAAATTATCGAAAGCCGTTTTATTTGTGCAAGCAAGCAAGCACACTTGCATGCAAGAAAACATTGCTCATATTAGAGTATAGGATTAAAATATAGAAAACAACAAAATAATCCCAACGTAAATAGGGTGAAACTATCCTTAATATTGTCTACAGATAATCATCCTTAAGTATGGTAAATCTTTAAGGACTATGTTTTATATATGATAGTTACTTCTGCAACGATTTCAATACTATGATAAGTTATGAAAACCCCGATTCTTTAAGCTTCAAATAAAAATTTTTAAGTATCGACTAATATCACAGATTAATGCTTTCACATGGGTATTGACTCTTTCAGGTTTGTTTAGCCCGGTTATGTACGAAGGAGTTTGTTTACTATTCGTTTCTTGGTATTGTATTTGACTGGTATTATAACCCAAAAGTAAAACACAAACTGTTCAATTATCAATTAGGCTACCCTTGAAAAAAGAGAACCGCTCAGTTGACATCAGGGCTTAAAACATAGCAAACTTGAAACACACACAACAACATATTTTAGATTTTTCAAGTCTACTTCCATTATTCAAAGTTAACTCGGGCGTTTACCTCATCTCAATGATGTGGTGCCATCTCGTCCAATCATTCTCCTAGAAAATAGCATATCGTCCACGTAAAACCTTGACAATGGTCAAGCTGTCAAGCAAACCCTTGTTACATAACAAGAGTGATAGTTACAGTTTTAAAAGACTATTGATATTGAGACTACATTGTATTGAAATATGTAAATAGAAACACATCTTGACAAGGACCTTTTGCATTTCCAAACTTGAAACGTGTTAAAGATCAAACCTCAAACCTTTCTAGTACAATGAAAATTGACTAAGAACATAAACATCAATTGGATAATAACTTTAAACATCGTGGAGTAGGTTGATAGAATCTTAGAATTGATCGTGATGAGCTAAAATAACTTAGCAAAATCTACCTTTAAATACCTTTGAAATGGTGTTGTATATAATTTTAGCTTTACACATCTTTTCCTCAAATATACCCGGAAGAAATTTTTTAACCGTTAAAATTATAGTTCAATCCCTCAAGTCTATACGTCCAAATCGTCCATTTGACGATGTATAAAACTAATTAAGTTAAAACACTAATGAAATAACTTAATAAAATAATAGAGGTAGGCTAAGATACATAGGTTTTGATAAAATGGCACTAATCGTTGAAAGAAGAACGTTCTTCATAATTTGGCAATTATTTTATAAGCCATTTCAACATGTTTCGACATGATACAGTGTGAACACACTCCCCGTGATTTTTTTACTCTTCACAATTTGCAATGCATCTTATATTGCTCATCTTACTTTGTCGTGATGCCGTTCCTTCGTCATTTCTTATGTGTCCCGTGTGATGTTCCAGCATGCTTCATCATGATGTCGTGCGGGACGTCCTTCGGCTGGGTGGCTCCGTCCTTCGTCAAGTTGATGTCAGAGGACAGCGTGATACCAATGACGTCATCGGAGGCTTCTTGGGCCATCGCTATAATAGAGTTCGGCAACCTGTGGTCTCCCGTCCCAGCTGGCATTCTGGCAGACAAGCTTGGCCGTAAACCATTAGCGCTTGTGAACGGACCTATAAGTATAGCATCCTGGGTGATCATCATGTATTTCAAGTCTTTCCTCGCATTATGCATCGGGAGGATTCTTCAAGGCTTCGTGATAGGCATTGTTTTCACCGTAGTGCCCATGTACTTGGGAGAAATCGCCTCCCAGAATATAAGAGGAGCTGTTATAACCCTTTCTCAAGCCTGCTTCTGGTTCGGATTCGTCTACGAGTACGTCATAGGACCTTTTGTAAGTTTCGACACGCTTATACTCTTCTCCGTCTGTTTGCCAGCTGCGTTCCTTGTCCTGTTCTCGTTCCAACCGGAATCTCCTCATTTCTACCTAATGCGGGAGGACGAACTCAACGCGAAGAAAAGTCTGATGTGGCTGAGAGGTGCAAAGAATGAGGAAGACGTCAAAGAAGAACTGGCTGAGATCACTGAAAGTGTCCGCGAGGAAATGAGCCACAAAGTCTCTTTAGCTGACATCGTCTCTACTCCGACTGACAGAAGAGCACTGTTGATCGTTCAAGTTGTAAGTGCTGTCAAAATGTTGAGTGGTGTTGCACCTATTTTGGCCTACTCGACGGAAATTTACCGAAGAACAGGGTTCACCCTGATTCCACCTTACATGATGACCATCATCACCGGTTTGGTGCTTTTCATCTCAGCTTTCTTCAGCACCACGTTGACCGACTCAGCTGGAAGAAGACCTTTGCTGATCATCTCCTGTGTCGGCTGTGCGCTGAGTCTTTATGTCGTCAGTGGATTCTTCTATGTGTACGAGTTTACAGACAGCGACCTCGGCGACTTCTCGTGGGTCATTCCATTTTGTATCATCCTTTACAATCTGTTCATGGCGTTCGGTCTGGACCCTGTCTCGATCACCTATCGAGTTGAGATGTTCCCCGCTCACACTCGCTCCACCGCTGCCAGTCTCAACACTCTCGTTTTCACAATCGGCGCCTTTGTAACTCTCAAGTTTTACCAAGTTGTGGCCGACACGTTCGGCGTGTACTGTATATTTTTCATATTCGCAACTTGTTCGTTCCTTGGTTCGATATGGATGTACTTTTACGCAATCGAAACTAAAAATAAATCTCTTGCCGAGGTTCAAAAAGAACTAACAAAAATGTTAAACTAATTTTAGGCATTAGCTTTAGTTTCAATTGTTTCATTGTACACTTACAATGTTAATTAAATTGTACATTTTTTTGTTTTTGTTATGTCTTTAAGATTGTTAATCTAATTAATGCACGGGTGTGACATACCAAGAACGAGTGTGTTTCGTATTTTGTATTTCTAGTCATTATGGAAAAACGCCTTTGATTTAAATCAATTTGAAATGTCATTGATAATTGTATCTCAAAGATAATGTTTTTGTTATCACCGCCAAATCTTTTTTACTTCCTTTGAATAAAATCTCATGTTTTCCCATATTGGTTGCTTACTGAAACCTATATTCAATATTTTCTAGTCAACCTGACTCATTCAACCTGTCTATAGACATTGATTATTAAAAAAGACTAAAAATTTAAAAAAAATAATTTGCAGGATTATGTTGTTAGTGTCATAGCGTTTGAGAACAATTGCTTTAAAGTGGTTGCATTTTACCTTGATTTGATTCACAAGCATCCAGGGGTGCCCAGAGGGGAGGAACATGGCGCGTTTGCGCCACAGGAATTTTTGGGGGGGGGAACTTCTTTAGGGAGATTTGGGGGGGGGGATATTTTTTGTTAGCTGTCATAATGAATGTAGAATTTTGTATAATCAGACTGAAAAACGTTTTCTAAGTAGCTCACTATCAACACCAACAACATTCTGCCATTCGTAATTAAGATTGCTTCTAAGAATGGTAAAACGCACCTTATCAGACAATCCTTAATATGTACTAGTGTCGACTTTTTTATTCTGTGTTCGCTGACTTTTACTTGCTACATTAGTTTTGGTGGTTCTTTCACTCCACCATTGTCAGTCTAGGCCTTTAAAAAGATCCACTTCTGGAGGTGTCGTCAGAATACGTTACAAACATTTAACACAAAACACAAAACGATTACAGATATGCCTATCAATGCACAAGAGTACATTGGCACGGGCAGGACTGGAAGTAAACTGAATCAGTTCAGGACGGACCGACGTGGTCTCTGGATTGTCGTCTGTTTTGTGCGTTTTCAACAGCTGATATTGGACTATTGTTGTAGTGACTGAGAAGAGTGTTGAAAATATAATAGGATTCATAATTAATTGAGTGTTTTCACTCAAAAATTGTGCGCTGTCCCTATAGTTTTATTTATTTATATACCGGTATTCCAAACTCTTCCAAAGTATTTAATAAATTTCTTTTCACGCAGTAATGTAGAATTTCGAGACCATCATTTATATCCAGCATAAAAATTGGTTATTATTGTCGATAGTTTTGAATTGAAAACTCAATTATGAATCCCATTATATTTTCAACGCTCTTCTCTGTCACTACAATTAGTCCTAACATCTGTCGAAAACGCAGACGACAATCCAGAGACCACGTCGGTCTGTCATAACCTGATTCAGTTTACTTCCAGTCCTGCCCGCAGCAATGTCCTCGCATGAATTGATAGGCCTATCTGTAATCGTTTTGTGTTTTGTGTTAAATGTTTGTAACGTATTCTGACGACACCTCCAGAAGTCGATCCTTTTGTAAGTCTGACGATGGTGTATGTTACATATGGCAGTCTAAATATGTTAAAGAACCGCCAAAACATATGTAGCAAGTAAAATACGACACTACCATACATATATTATTAAGGATTGTCTGACAAGATGCGTCCTTATTAATGACGCAAGATGACCTTATTAATGCTCTTAAAGCTGTTTGAATTCTTAAGCCCTGTAAAAATTAACGCCACCTAACATACCCATTGTACAGTTACAATACTGTGTTGGAGTAGAGTAACTCACCGAGTATATTGAGCACATGTTGGCTGACAAAACAGTTTCTGAATTGTAAATTGAAAAACTTCTAATTTGTCCGTTAGTTAGATATAATGATGTATTGTTAAATGACGTTTCCTATTAAACATTTAATATTGATTATCAGCAGGTTTGTTTTTCTTTACCTCAAGTTTACTATATAATACTTGAAATGCTCGTTTTATGAGGTAAAGGGGAAATTGTCAGATACATTGGCAGGTGGAGGGTAGGTTTAAATAGACGGCAGCATAAATTGGGGGGGGACTACTCCTTTGGCGTTGTGGGGGGGGGGTTGCGCCTCTGGGTTTGGGGGGGATGGGCACCTCTGCAAGCATCTATAACTACAAACAACATAATAATTCTCATAGAAGTGCCCTATAATATTCATATTAACATAAATAACATATTGCTTTCCTTGATAGTAACACACAATAAATAACTTGTACATAATGAATACCGATTATTATCTATAACTTCTTACAATGTCGATATTTCAAAGATAATTTTTGTAATGGTCTTATAGCAAAATACATAGCTAATTATTGAACAAGTATGGCAAAAACACTAATTATTAATCTGGATAACAATAAAATGGATTAAAATGTTTTGAATAACAATTACGAAGAAACAAAAAAATTACCTGTTTGTAATTTTACCTCCGTTATTCCATATCGGTGAGTTATCATAAATAATGTTGTGTTTTTTCAAGACCCTATAAACCTGTGATTTTAAAGAATAAAATAGTCAATACGAATTGAAGCCATTCAGAAATTTGATTTCTTAATTTAATGTTGAAACCAACTGTTTGGATACACTGCATTGATGTTTACTTCCATTTCCTCCGTTGGTTAAGGCTACCTGGTTGAAATGAGCCACTGACCGAATGTTCTGCTTTAAAATACCATTTATCATATACAATGGAAGGAGCGACTGACTTTAAACCATGGGATAATTTTATGTCCCCATTTTATGATACCGGAAACGGCGGAAACAATAAATATTAGGGGCTAATTGAAGTGCGCGCTTAGAGAAGATAATCTTTTGGTGTTGTTGAGTTGTTTACAGTATCCAAAGTCAATGAGTCTAGTCGCCATTGTTTTCTAAAAGGTTAAAATCAAAATTAGAGGGAAATCATCGTAGGATTTAGACACTGTTTTTTCCAAACATTGAAAAATAATCTGTTACCGTTGAAATATAGTTAACTAATAGAACTATACATTAACCTCATGAATAATAACCTTCAATTATTAACCTTCAATAACGTATACTACTGTAATTCTCTGACACTATTACAATCTTGAAGATTGTTAATAAAGATCTCTCTCTATCTCTCTCAGATAACTGTTTTTTTTTCAGTAGCCAATGCCGACACCACTTAGCCTACTTCTACTTCTAGGTTTTCTTTTCCTCTTGAAACTTGTTGAAACTATAGCTTCAAGCACCTTCGAATATTAAGGGTGATATCATTGACTATACGTATAGCTGATTTATTTGTAAATACAATAATCAATGGTAATATCAACCTATTAACGTTTTCGAATCAGCCCGGTACATAGCGTAACATCTCACAACAGCTAAAAGTGTACATTCAAAGTATCAGGTGTTGTTACTGAGCATTACTACAATCAGACGTTCGTAAAGATTACCAACACAGTTTTGTCTTCCATAATAAACCATTTTGTGCTCTTTATTCCTTTGCCTTTTCCAAGTTGTCAATGGAAATAAGTTTCTTCATGAAACTGTAGTGTTTGATGTTTAGAGTCTCGATCCACGGCCACCTTTCTCGATCTCGCTAGTCGCTCTGTTTCTTATGTTAGTTCGATTGGGTTCGTTCGGTTCCATGGTGGATCGGTTCGGTATCCATCGGCCATCCAATCCACCACCACCATCCACCACCTGGCCTGGCCAGTGGCCACCTATATCTTACTTTATTCAATTCTGTTCTGTCAATGTCAAGTCAACTCAACTGTCAGTGAGTGTGTGTAATAAATGTACTGTTACACTAATGTCTCGTGATCATCTGTTTTTTGTTTGTTGTAGATTAATTTTGATTTTGATCGCTCTGTCAAAATAAACCCATTTCTGGATCAAGTAACATTATTCGCCTACCGCGTTTTTCTTAATAACAAGTGAATAACCTAATAGCTAGGCCTATTCTGATCATGGTCGTGTAAGTAAACAGTGCTGTTAGTAGTCTACATAATTCTTAAATAAAAACATTACATACAACTAAATAATTATGTAGGTCTAGCCTGGTAATGAGCAAAAATAACATTCCCTGCCTTGTCTCCTCTTTTTATTCAGCCAAAGAAGGTGAGTAGGGCCTGGACGCAGGATTTTTGAAAAATCACTCGCTGTCTTAAGCATAGCCTAAGTGAAGAGGTGAGTTATATTTTAATATGATAACTTATTCTTAACTTAACTTAACTTGCTTAACTTATTCTAACAATCTGGGTTGGGTACAGTTTCTTAACTGGACTGCGCTAATATTGATTGAAACTATTGAATTGAAAATATTTATTAATAATCATTATTTTTAAATAGCTTATAGGCCTATCTATTATAAAATAAAACTATCATAACCTAACCAACCAAACTTGCTGATGGTGAAAAAATCGGATGAAGGTTTAGGCCTACTAATCGAATCGATAGTTTCAATGGATATTAGCGTAGCCCAGTTAAGAAACTGTACCCGCTGGGTTTTCCTAGGTGAAGAAATGGAACTTTGAGAGTGGTTTGCGGAGAAGCAATTTTCCGCTTGTTCAGTGGCGGTCCACTCCACTTCATGGTTACTATTTGTTGTTGTAGCCTGAACTTTTACCATTACATTGATTCTTTTCTATTGATGTTCAAAGGTGTTAACATTCAGGTTAGCTGACCAATGTGTTTGTAAAAATCGCCCTTGGTTTTATAGGCCTAGTTCCTGTATGAGCTGAATTTTGATCAGTGGTGAAACTATACTTAAGCTTATCAGACTCCATTAAAGTACAGTATTGAACAATAAAAGTAGGCCTAACTTATAAACTTATAGATTGAATTGATAATAACACATTGGTTCTTCAATAGGCCTTATGTTGAGACAATTAAGTTAGGGAGTTAATACAATGGATAGTTACTATGAATAGTTAATACAATGGAGTCGGATACCAAAGTTTTTCCAGATTTGTTTTAGGTTACTTAAAGGTACCTACCCTAGGCCTACTAAAAAGATTAAGTTAATTTGTTTGAAATTCCAATCAATAACCTAACTTAACATCCCTGAACTAAGTTAAACTTAACTTAAGTCTACTGTAGCCTGGGCTAATTTCAATTTCCTATAGCCTAAATTACTGTAGTAGCTTTGACTATTAATACAACCAGACATTCTATCCCCATGTTAAATTTGTTGCCAGTTTTTTAACCAAAATCGTCGTAGATGATTGAGCCACCGACAGATTGTGCTTATCTAAAGCACTGTTTTCTGTCGAATACACAATCTTTTTTACCAATTTTAACTAATGGAATGACTTATTTTAAACTATAGCAACTGTTATGACCCATCAACTTGGCCAGCAACAAAAAATAAGGAAGAAAATAGAGTTTTAGTAACTAGCGGATTCTGTGACTAGCTCGCACAACTACGTTCTTTTTAAAAAAAATTGGCTACAGCTGATCTGGCACGTCTACTTCAGTATCCAATAGTCAATGATGGTAGCCTAGCTTAAGTTACTAGTAAGTTAGAGAAACCAAAGTTGCTAGCCCTCAGATTATTAGGGAGTGTTAATGTCTTAATGCAGTGCAAGAGGGGTAGGTTACACCTCTGCAGATCCACCATAACTTCATAAGCCTAAAAGCATATAACTTGGTGTTCTCAAAATGTTACTACTGTGCTCTAAAACTATGAATAGGATTGGAAAAATAACTAATAATGGTGTGAACAAGGTTTTACCTTTGAGAAAATTAAGTTAGACATATAGAACATTTTGGTTTTTAACTCCAAATAACTGGTTTTAACATCTTTTCTAGATAACATTAAAACATGCTGTCCTACCATACACGTAGACTTTTGTACGCTTCTCTCATTCTTCTCATCATATACTCAGTTGTGCAGATATTTCGGCCGCCAAAATTGATCGATTTACAAGATAGAGAAGCCCAGCTGTAAGTAAAGTTTCAATAGATTTTATTGGTTAGGGTATTACATTTCTTTTTAATATAAGCTCATTAATTCTTAAGTTCAGATAAACCTATCATTGTTTTTAACAGTTTAACAAGCATAGGGACTTTTTCTGTTAAGTACCTATGCAACCACCTCTACCTATGTTTTTCAGGTAAAAATGGTACCGGTAAGTTAAGTTACAGAATGGCTTGTAGGCCTACAAATTCTGTTTAGGTTTGGTTGGTTAAGTTAACTTCATTAAGTTAGAATCGAGACACTGCCTAAAACTTTAATACACAGAAACCCCAATGAGTCTAACATAAATAGCAAGGCTATTTTTGAATAAGGAACCTATTTTTTCAGTTTATTAGTAGTTTGTATTCAAAGGCTATTTCGGTTCAAGAGATCTGCAACCGTAGTTTTTTTATGTTATTTTTATTATTGTTATCTTAACATCTTAAAATCTATAGCGGTACACTAAATATATATTTTTTTTCAACAATAGCCTTTGAACTTAATTGTTAAGTAGGTGTTTATCAAAACAAATAATAATTCTCAATATCCCTTAATGTTGTTGCCTCTGTTCTTAAATGTTAGCTGTATAACTTAATTTGAGTTCCGTTCTTGAACCAGAGATACCGTAGCTAATAAAAATACTCAATGAAACCGTTGAGTCTAACTTAGTTTATAGTTTACAATTACTGGTCTTAAGGTTAGTTACAAGTGAGTGATTGGTATTTTACTTTCATATAGACCCTTTGAAATGTCTTTTGGTACTGAGGTGAAATAATTTTTACTTAATTTTTCAGAAAGCAAATGGCCAAAATGATTCAATCTGGAAGTAACAGTAAACTATGGTAAGTCTATAAATTCTTTATGTTAACAACCCCTTTGATCACATCATTCTTATGCGGTTTGCATTTTGTTTGTTTATATCTTTTGCTTTGGCTGTTGGTTTTTTACTTTCTCCTCCTATACATGGTATATGTAGAAAATGTTGTTTTCCTCAACATTTTTAAATCTGACTTTTTGGATGTAGCATATCCGTTTTGGGTATTGGTAAATTCTAATTTAATTTCTATAGGCTACTATTGACTATTGCTATGTTACACCCTAAAATATTACCACAGCCAAACAATTTTACACCGTCTGCAAATCCTTCCTAGATAAACCGGGCTTCCACTGCGACCACCACAGATCGGACTTTCACGGGACTTGAACTCAACACTTTACAACAAAGATACACACAATATATAACTGTCAACAGAACAATACTGGTTCATAGTTGTGGTCTAAATAGTGGGGGTTTCCCGTGCTGGAGACATGCAATGACCATGATGCAGTGGGCCAGTAAAATCTGTTTATGTCCAATCATCTCTGTGACGGTTGCAGTGGGTGCCCTACTTTCTCCTATTCACATTTAAGCTGTATGATATTTTCTTTTTGCTGATGCACATTTTTTTGATTACCACAGGCGAGGTGGACAGGCTTGTAGACATCCTAGACTGGAGGTGAACAGTTCAGAGATCATGAGGTTCATTAAACCTCAAGGTCCTCTGCAGTGTGCAGACGAGCCGGACTGGGTGACAATGGTGGGAGGCATGGCCAAGATCACGCAACTGGCTCGCGACAGATACGGCGATATTGAGTGCTCGTTCACAGGTATTACAGTGTTACACAGTAAATGATCGTTTCAGTGGCATCTATATTATTAAAAGAATTTGTTGATTTTAGTATGCAGCAAATTGACCCCAAAATATTTATTTTTATAGGCATATTGGGTATTATTTGAAAGCTCTAAACCTCTTGAGATGTACCTTTTGCGGGTTTGGATGATATCCCATGTCATATAGGCTTTCTAAATTTCAGAGTTTTTGTTGATTCTGTTGTTCAACATCTGAGCTTTTTCAAGTTACATTTGATTACATCAAAACATATGGTCATGATACAATTTTGTTTACATCCATACAAAAATGGCGCTATCATTACAGTTGGTGAATTCAAGTAAAATATTGTAATGTTATTTGTATGAAATGCAAAGAAGAAAAAATGGCTTACATTAGATTTAGTGTTGTGGTAGGATTTTGTGTTTTCATAGAATGTTTATTGAATTCAAGTAAATCGTTGTAATGTCATTTGTTATTGTTTGAAATGTAAATAAGACGATTACTTGAGTTAGATTTTGTGTTTCATAGTATGTTTCATTGGTATTTGTGATTTGTCTAAGATGCCTCAAAGAGACCGTGTCTTGGTTGCTTCCCCTTCTAAAAGTCTGATCAAGTGACAAAATTATTCTTGGTCCTATAACAAAAATGAAATAAATTCCAAACCGAACTTTCTTTGAATAAATTGTTTTATCACATAAAATCACAATTTTTTTCCATCAAAGATGTAAAAGTAACACACCTGTACCTGTTGCAGATATCACAAGGACTGATGATTTCTACACTAGGACTGGCATTACAACAACGACACATACAGAGTTTAATCTCGAGTCTAGTGATGTTGTGCGGGTCCGATGTATCTCAGAATCTGGCAAAAAGTGAGTACTTTGTCAATTACATAACATTATGGATAAAGTTACTGTCCTCGTAACACTGTTGTTTCTTTTGTATTACAGCCGTAATGTTGCTTACACATTCTGATTGTTAAACACTTACAGTAGAACCTTGGTTAACCGGGGGCAGATCAATCGTGGTCAATAGCTGCTTCTTAAATTATGTTATAACCTCAACAAATCTCAAGAAAATTTTGTAAATTATGTTTATTTAGTCTAACATGTTGAAATGCACTGTATATTTAGGCCTAACTATTTCTGTCCATTTTTATATGCAGTAGGTTCCCCCATTATGGTTTTTAAAAGCATAACAGTTCATTTGACAAAAATAAATGGAAGCAAAACAATTGAGAGCTTCAAGGTCAAGCTATCCGCTTGCACTGAAACCTCAGCTCCTTACACATCTGTCCGCTGTGCGCTTACTATGCACAACCGTTTGGGATTGGCCGATTGGTAACCAAGACAACTTAAGTAGCCTGTGATTGGGTGATTAGTAACCATGAAAACTTGTTGAATGTGTGGAGGAAGAAAAACCTAAGAAGGAATAGAAGAACAAATACCCCCGCCGCAGCAAACCTGCAGACTAAGCGAATTTCCATTTGCCTGACTTGATTTTCAATTAAATCTATTTCAATAACATTAGGTATAAAATGTAAAAATCGGACAATCTACCGTATTTATAGACCTATAGACAAAAAAGTACATCACTTTTATGATCAAAATTGAGATTTAGACTGTCTTGTATGACAGCTTTAAATAAAAATAATATTATAGGTGAGAATTTATTTTTTCCTTAAATATAACATGGAAAACAACATTTTAATTGATGAAAAAATCTGTTTACGTTTCTGCATTTGACATACCATACTTATAAAATATTTATGCCATTTCACTTGGTATCATCTTGAAGTCCATTTTATGCTGAATATTTGGTTTTTAATTTGTCCTGATATCTTAAAAAATAAAAAGTTATTCAACATCTAGTAAACAACATTTTTTATAAAATACTCGGGTTTCACACAAAGATGGCCGCCAAAAAAATTCCGAAGGGAAATAATTTTTTTAATACTTGCATTACATTTCTATTGATACAGTTAACATTTAATAAAAGTTTCATCAAAATTACAAATGTTGAGCAACCATGCCTGTATGACTTGAAATGGATTGACCCGCTAACGTATCAATGATTATAGCATTACACATAGTATTAAAAAGTCAACCCTCTGTACCAGTATGTCATTTTGTTTTTATCCAAATGCTGAATTTGTGTCACACACGCTGAATGTTTATAGCTGTTACGTTGACTAATGGTATTACCTATACGAAAAGCTAGTCTAAAATGTCGGCTGCTAGACTTAAAAAAATTAAAACCCTATTTCTAAAAACTGACTGAAAATTCCAAATTACCTGTAGACAAAGTTGAATTTTACATTTTCATTAATAGTTTAAAGACTCATTTATTTTATGAGTACACCTTGTGTTAGAAGAGTGATTGGTTTGCACAAAAAAATGCATTCCACATGGGGGACCCTTTCTCTTAATCTCACTAACATGTAAAAATAAATTAAGTGTTGTTTAAGGTCCTGATATCTATAACAGAATTATTGGTGTCATTTGTCCTTAAAATATTATTCAAACAGCCTGTAAAACCAGTGTTTCTCATACTGTTAATTTCCAGATGGAACAGTATTTTGGCTGGTATCCGCAATGACCAGGATGTTATGGATCGCTCCGGATGGCAGTCTCTTGCCCCGGACGCATTGGGTCTCAACGTGCTCATGTTTGGCTTTGACTCTCTGTCGCGCAACACGTTCATCCGCAAGCTGCCTCGTAGCTACGCATACCTGCACGACCAGTTGGGAGCTACGGTGCTCGAAGGATACAACATCGTAGGCGATGGCACGCCACAGGCACTAATACCTATATTGACAGGTATGTTTCTACTGGGTTCTTTGTGTAAGAAATTGTTTAGGGTGGTTGTAGGCTTTGACCGGAGATAGAATTTTATTACATTTCCGTGTTGAAGATGTAGCCTTTTGTGTTTTTGAAAAAAATTTGGGTGGTTGTAGGCTTTGACTATCAATAAATCAGACATTCCATATCTGTGTTAAAGTTGTAGCAACTTTTAACATAAAATATAGGTACTAATTGAGCTTTCGGATTTCTATTACTGATTTCTTTAGTAATCAAAAACTTACTTAGCTAAACTGATGTCAACTTATTGTGACTAGAGAACTTTTCGGCATAGCCTTCTCTAATACAAGGCCGTGGCATTGGATTTTGTGTCAATGTGTTACTGGCCTGCCTATTGCCATGGTAATAACAGTAATAAACCAAACGTGTAAAATAAACATTGCACAGACGCTCCATTATGTACAACAGCTGTTTCAGTTGGTCGGAGCTGCGGTGTTGCCGCTTTTGTCTCGCCGCGGCCTTGTATTAGGGGAGGCTATGATTTCGGCCATCAAATTAACAAATTAATGTCAGTAGTAAAACGTTGAGAAACATTTAGGAATTTGATACCAGCTAAATAAGAAGAATAACAAATTTGATTAAATTATTTATTTATTTATTTATACGGTAAACACCATTTTTACAGTCAATAATACATGAGATTCAAGTTACAAGATAAATATTTAAAAAAATATATATAAGCCAGATACAGATTCATCTTGCTAGGTAAACATGCATAAACATTTTTAGAAAAATAACAATACCAGTAACCAAATCTAGATAACAATTGATAAATATTTTAATATAATAACAGAAACGAGCAAAAAAATGAATATATTTGACAGACAAGACAGAAAAAAACCCATGACAATGCAACCCATGGTTTGCAATAATAAATAAACAAATAATCATTCGGTATGGATAAATTTTACTATATTTTCATTTTACGACTCATATCTTTTATTTTTATCTTAGATATGAATGCAATAATTTAAATACACATGTGTGTTTTTAAGTGTCAGTGGGTCGAGGAATTGGGATTGTGTTATGTGATGGTGGAGGCCATCTGTTTGATGATAGTTTTGCTGCTTTGGCAAATTTCCTTGATATTAACGAAGTAGGAAGACAATTTATATGATTGTGCCCTTAAGAAAGACCAACTAGTTTAGCATTTTGCTAAACTTGATGTTAAACCACCCTTAATATTCTAATTTTGTTTTTTTTATTTTCACATAGGCCTAAAATGGTAGTTCCTTACTGTTTTGCTATACCTAGTGTTATGTAATAAACATTATTTTAAGTTGTAGATACATTTTTGTGTAAAAGGAGACTGTTGCATGTTATTTGGTTTCAGTATTGAACAAAGATTAGTTGTGATTCATATTTACGATCTGAAATCATATGTTTAAATAATGCTGTTTTCTTATGACACATGTTTAAATTACCGTATATTGTTTACTTGATGAAATCACATGCTTATGTTTAGATTAAATTGGTTTTTCTGTTACCAGTTTTATCTTCAGTCTTTCTCGATAGATTAGTTAAACACTCTTTTGTAAAAGAATGGTTGTAAAATGTGTTAAATATGATTTTGTATTAATGTAATCTCATCTCTTATGAAGATGCTGATGTACAGGCCTAAGCTGCTTAGCCATTTAGTTCGAGGTTTTTCACCTAGCTGTGCCTATTTACCTAGCATGTGCAGATTTCATGCTCTTCAATTTTCAATAAGTTATGCCTGCATTAGAGGTTTTGATTCATGTTTTATTAAGTTACTCGTGGAGTTTTGTGAAACAATTTGGCTCAATAAAAGTACCTACTGAACATTGGTCACAAGTTCTGAACCATGCCCTCGTGCCTGCACCCAGACTAACGAAAAGGAAGCGTGATCCATGCGCAGACCCGAGGAGCGGCTCACAAAACTTTACTTAACAAAATGAGAACCATGGATGGAGGTTCAAGAACAACACGCCATTTGAGAGAAACGAGCTGTAATTAACCATTAAAGAATAACACAACAATAATTAACAATAATACATGAATTAAATACTCTCAATTAAACTTTAAAAAATTTTGATACCACTCTGACCTACTAACTTACAAACATTAATTTAAAAAATTCAAATAGGCTAATTTCAGTCAAAGTAAATTTAATCAGTTTTAACCTTTAATAAATGTACAATGAAATATCTAATGACTCTTTTAATAAATTCATTTCATGGTAACTATAGAAAATTTAGGGGCCCCAAAATTGAAATTTAATAGAATATGTAAAAAAATTATAAAATCTAAAAAATCAACAAGTAGCCTAGGCTAAAGAATTTAAAATTTAAAAAGAATAACAATTAATAAATTTCTGTGCACAAATTAACAAATAACGAAATCTCCAAGTCCAGGACGGTGGTTATCAATAATTAATTAGGCCTAAAACTTGCGGTAGTTGCGGTTTTCCTTCATTCTATCCAGGTACAGGACACTGTTGAGCCGTTGAAGATGGACGGAGAGGGGCTGGCCAGAGTTCCCACAGAGGCCTCAAGGTGGTAACTTTCTCCGCCATTCTTCCGGTGTTACAGTTTCACCGCACACATGGGCCCTGAGTAACAAACCCAGAAACAAGGTAGTAACAGTCTAAGTTCAATACCGCAAGGTTCACTGTCACACATTTAATTGTCTTTCACTGACTTCCATAAATCCACAGATTAGGCCTAACATATCATTTTCAAAAGTTTCTAAATTTTTAAAAGGTTTGTCTCTCTATCACAGCTCTCTATCAATATAAAACATTTCAAACAATAACAATATTTTAAACATAACAATTAACAGGTTAAACAGTACAAGAATGGTAACATTAATATTTGCGGTAAAACCGTCAGCAGGCCAGACAGGTATGTGACAGTGGTAAGTTTCACCAATAGAGAGAAAAAATATAAATTGTCTGGTCCAAAGTGGCCAGAAGAACAAGTTAACAATAAACAATTGACATTTAAACACAGAAAAATACTTTAAAATTGACAAAAAACGTTCCATACAAAAATTTTAGGCCTAACGCAACGACTCATGTATTTTTGCTAATTTCTCCAAAAGTTGTGATCCGAATTTGTTCGGAATGGTCTTAAAAGCTGGGGGAAATGTTCCAGCAGCTTCTCCAGACCATCCCAAACCTTAACTCAAAGGCTGAAACCAGTAGGCCTTTTGGTTACCCAGTTCAAACCTGAATGGAGAATTGCCAAACTCTAAATTCCTCATAACTTTCTTAAAACTTGAGCAAAATGACTCAAACTTTCTGGGGAGCTTTAAGAGCAGTTAATTCAACTTAATTTAACTAGTTTGGCAAGGACAAAGCAAAATAAAAGACTTTAACCTTACTTGACTGGGTAACACAAACTGAACATTTTACAAGACAAAACAACACTAAAAATTGTACGGGACACAGAAACAAAAGACTACCAGAGTAGTAGCCTAAGACAATTACATTTACTGAGCAAAAATTGTAAGCCTAGGCCTACCACAAAACAGTCAGAAGGACCCAAAACTGACTTGGCAGTTTCTCTCAAATAGCGGCTTTCCAACAAACATTTCTCAGTCAATTCTAGGCCTAGCATTTCGGGCAAAGCCCTGAATTATACAAAACAACAGAGAACAGGGAAACTAACTATCAAAAGTCTTCCACGACCCCAAGACTAGGTTCCAGACCTAGTGCAACCATGTGCAGCTAACCTAACTTTAGAAAAATGTGAAAAACTCACCCAAAAGGAGCGCGTGGCGCACTTGAACTACTCCATAACCTCGCAGACTAAGCACAAAATAAAAAACTTACACAACCTTGTATAAATCATGTGCCAAAAGGGCGATTTAAAACGATGAAAAATGTCTGCGAGGTTAACTAGTTGATTGTCACGCAACCTCTGAAGTGCTTGGCGGTGGGAGTAATAAGAACAAAACCCACAGCCTTGTTCGGGGGCGTGGAGTGAGAAACACTGAACTAGCCTACTATAAAAAAAACACTTGAACCATTGATCATGAGTCGTGACATTCGCCCGGTGGAAATAGTCACGGCTCAACCTCCCTCCCCAAAAGAGGACACTCCTCTCCAAAAGGGACAAACAAACAAGCCTCTCCCCCACTTCCTGAAAAGAAATTGACCTGAAAGACAACTCAGGTGTCTGTGGTGGGGAACGCCAAGGGACTTCCAAACTGAGGGGAAAACTCACCCCCAGGGTTTGCTCTGGCCAGAGCTGGAAAATTTTGTGAGGGAAATTCCTTCGCAGAACACAGGGGACAGGAGAAGTGATCAGGTTCTCTGGCCCAGTGCACTTCCCACCCAGACACAAGAGGAAAGAAAATTGCCTACGGAAGAGTTCCGCGGAAGGGCTTGAGATGAGAAATGTGCGCCCTCCGGAACACTTTTCCAGTCCGCGGATCTCCAAGCTCCGCCGTGACAGGCGTCAAAAACCTCAGGATGCGGTGGGGACCTGACCACCGATGACACAACTTTGCAGCTCTCTTGTCCACAGCCGAACTGGCTGGATGAGCTTTACAAAACACCAAATCCCCCACCTGGAAAGGGTTGTCTACTCTACCACGATTGTGCTTCCTACAGACCAATTCCCTAGCTCTGATCAAGTTTCTCCTGGCCGCTTGCCAAGTTGCCTTGACATCAGCCGCACCAGGAGGTGGCAGAAGGTCGCCAATTCCCCACACATTCGCTAACGGGTTGTTAGGCGGATAGCCTAGAAACAGCTCGAAAGGGACCGCCTTGTGACTCTCATGGTGAGCAGTATTGAAAGCAAACTGAAGCCAAGGGAGTTCCTGATCCCAGGTGGTCTGCTTGTCAGCATGGAAAGCTATGAGAGCGGAGCGAAGATTGCGATTGAACCTTTCAGCATGAGAAGGCTGTGGATAGTAAGGGGAAGTAGTCACATGGCGGATTCCGTGCCCAAAGCACATTCTTTTGAACAGATGGGAAACAAACTGTGTTC